TAAGATTTTGATAAGTTCTAAAATATTATAAATCCTAATGAATTTCGTGGATCTGAATAGATTTCCATAAATTCCATAAGAAACTCATCAAATATAGTGAAATTTCAAAAAATTTGATTATAGTATTTTAAAGCTTGGAATCAATCAAAATCTTTTAAAATCCCTCTATTAATAAAATCTTTATAAATTCATTGGTTATTAAATATACCTAAATTTTAAAGGATTTCGTTGAATTTCGTTAAAATCTCAATTAAGGACACTCTCAATTGAGGATGCCTAAATTTAGAAGGATTTTTAAAATCCATCACAATCTCAATTGAGGACACCCCCTTTTTGTTTTTTTGTATTTTTCAACTCTCGATGATCTTACTTGAAATGTCAATTTGAACCTTTTTTCAACAACATATGACTTTAGTAATATACTTGTTCCTAACCTTATTTTCTTGTCATACTCACTTTCATCTTTTCATTGATTAGCACAATTAGGGATGGGCACGGTCCGGTTCGATTCTAACGAGACCGAACCGGACTCAAAATTTTCGAGTATTTAGTAAGTGAAACCGTTCGGATTTGGTTCCATTTGATTCCCAAGTTTTATACTATAATTAATTTTTTTAATATTTACAAAGCTACATTAATTCAACTAATGACATGTACAATCTTAATTCTTACAAAATAACGTAGTCTAATCTTATGTGTTTTTACGTCTCTATTTGCTGAGTTCTTCATAGATTTGATTGTGAAAATCACATGAACACGATAGTGAGCTTACAATAATTAAAAGAGACGCTAGAGGTGTCAAGACGGACGAGCCGATCAGACCCGTGAAAATCGGTCAGGATCGACCTGTGACCCGAGCGGGGCGGTTAGCGGGTCAAGGAGGTGTGACCCATGGGTTTCGCGGGTTTCACTTTCACGGGCTGCGGTTAACCCGCTGGCTCGTGAAAAAAAAATTAAATATTTTTGAAAAAAAGTAGGTGCCAACCTAGTTGGGATGTACTTATACTATAAATATTTGATAATAGTAATTAGAAATGCATTTAATTGTTATTTGTTTAAGTTAAATTTAACTTTGCAAAGTTATAAATAATTCATGTAACATTAAATTTGAATTCTATGTAAACATTTCTTGGTATAAATATGAATTTATTATTTCGTTCAATTCTTAGTTTACATTTAACAAAAAAAAATTTTTTTGCTATAAATATAAAAAATTTCTATATTTTTATAATTTTATTTATACAATCATAAGGGCCAAATAGGAACAAACCGCGACCCGTGAC